CAACTTTCGTAATTCAATGGTAGCCAAATTTCGTGGCCGACGGGACTACACGTAGATGCGAAAAAATGCAACTGCAATAGAAAACTATTTTTTATACATTTCTGAAATATAAATTTTATCCTTATTAACGTAATGTAATTTATCTTACAGGTTCATTTACGGCAAAGCAATCTGAATTACTCATTATTTCTTAAATTGTTAACACTAATTTTCCCTCTTTCTGTCTGTGCAATTGATAAGCAAAAAGAGATACAAGCAAAAAGAGATACAAGCAAAAAGATTTCTATCTGATTTCTATCTGTGCAATGTTCAGGTAGCACCAGATGCAGTTCATTTTTGCTTGTGAGATAATTGCGGTCACGTTTATTTCGAAATTAATAACTTAAGCACATATATGCTTGCGGTTTTGTATTTTAAATTTCATAAATCTTAAGTGATTATAGATTATTTCGCAAATCATCAAGTAAAATCATTAAACTTAGAAACACGATTAAAAATAATTTAAGATAGTGCTGTTGTCAGTTACAAAGGCCGAGTGGTAAAGACGCTGAGCACTGGTAGTTCGGTTCGAATCCAGCGAACAGGCTGGCTGCATGGGCGCTTTCGTGGCTTTCCCCATGTGTAACGTGTATATGAGCCAGTTTTCCTTAGAAAATCCTCCACGAAGGCATCCCTTCCTTTAGGCAGATAGCCCTCGTGTGCTTTGCCATAATAAAATAAATTAAATTAAATAATCCAGTTACAATGGAAGCTGACAGAAGAGTAATGAAGTTCTTTTTAGCCGTGGTCAATTCTTTGCTTTTATTTATTTTGTAATTTAATTAAATAAATTTAAGCATTGCCTAATTCTGTAGTTTTATTTTGATTTAAAAATCTTTATTTGCCAAAATTTTGGACTTTGAATATTGGCTGTGTAGCTCAATTTTAATAATTTTGCTTAGATTTTAAATTTAAAATAATGTGTTATTTGTTTGATAAAAACATATATTGGGGGTCTATTTTTAACAAGCAAGACTACAAATATATTAATGTAAAATGTTTTAAATTTTTTTTGATATGTTTTGGTAAATATTTAAAATGGTAAATGTTTTAAATGACTATTCATATAAGATGTTTTAAATGATTTTCTCAATCAATACAACACTAGGTAAAATTCTAAATTGTACTTTGTGCTGTATTGATTGAGAAATGTAGCAAAAAAGATTATTTTAAGCATGTCTTTCGCCCTGATGGGAACGTTTTTAAAAAAATATTTTTTATTCTATTGCTGTTTATTATTTTGTGTTAATATAAAAATTATTAAATAAATCAAAGCTACTAGTTTGAATATTACAAGAAGAATAAAACTGAAAAATTATCAAGACCGAATTCTTTTATATTTCTAGGGAATTAAAACAGAATCTATTAATGAAATAATAGCAGGTTTAGCTTTAAGCTCACTTGATATACTTTTCAGAGTATAATAAGTAATTTATAAGCACAAGAATAATAGATGTCTACAATTCTATTTAGAAACTGTTTGTACATTTTCGGGTTTCATAAAAATGTGAATCCCAAGAAAGTAAGGAATATACTTTTTATTGAATTCTTTTATGTTTCTCGAAAATTGAGCAAAATGTCTTTACTTTATTGATGGCAGAACATTTATTTGACAAAATTTTCATGTTTACTCCTCTAAGTAATTTATAAGAACAAAATAATATATGAAGACAGTCTTGTTTTAGAACTTATTTTGTACACTTTTGTGTTTTACATAAAGATACATTACAACACAATAGTAATGAACATACATAAAATAAACCATACATCGAATATTTTCTTAAATTTTATGCAGCTTTCTTTTTAAAGAAAATAAAGTTACTCGTAAAGAAAATTCTGGTAAGTACAAGAAATTCCAAGATCAGCGGTTATATATGTATTATATGTATTTCTTCATTTTTAATGGCTGTCATGTATGAAACTTGATGTATTTTATTAATGTCCGAAGCTCTATCTTTTTTAAGCTTAACATTATACAGCGCTTTTCCATAAATCTTTGAAGTTCAGAATTCTGTCACAAGATGGCAGGTGAATACTGATACGATCAATATACAGCATAAAGACACCAGCGCTTAAATAACTAATGATTGGAATCAAATTTTAAGAGGACGAACTTCTTAAACAATACGAAGCGAAGAAAACTAATTATAAAACACGTAAATAATTCAGGATGATAAGTATCCAGGTCACAAGCATATGTAATAATAATATATCTTATGCAAATCTTTCGCAAACGGAATTTGAATTTTAAAATTTCAATCTTTATCCCGACTTCGTAACTTTTTTTGCGAGAGAGAACAGCAACTGGCTGTATTGATTTCTTTCTTTACTTTTGGTCCACTAGTGGTCGAGCGATGAAGTCCGTAAACACTGGTAGTTCGACCTGGGTTGGAATCTCGATGAACGGTGCTTTCACATGTTAATTTCTACAACTGTAGTCAAGATAGTTAGTGTGATTTATTAAATCAAATATTTTATAGATGAGTTTTTTTTCTTCAATACCACATTTTTTAAAATTCGTAACAACAGGTGCAATGTAAAGCAATGGATTAAGTGAAATTTCTTATAGACATAAACTTATAAAAAGTCGAACAACTGGGTGTAGAGTGCAATGTGCATGGAAATGCATTGTAAAGAAAAGGACTTCTTATTCTGTTGAGGGCAAGTATTGTGTTCAAAAACACACCAACAAAAGAAGTTGTACTATAAAAAAAGTTACGAATTTAATCCGAATAACATCTCCAAGGATGCACTGAATCAGTGCTTCTTAAGCAGTTTTAATTCATGATCCCTTTTTATAGTCAACATTATACTGCAACCCCGGACATTAAATATATTTTCCATAAATTGTTTAATTCCTTATTTAACACCATATGTATGAAAAGAAATAGATTCAGAGTTGTTTTCAAGTATTAAAACAATGAAAGAAAAATTAGATTTTAATAAGATTTATGTATTTTATTGCATAACAAATTAAATCTTTGTGCAATATTTGACACTGCTGGACGAAAAGCATCTTTAGCGTTTTTCAATGTTGAACGATATTTAGATTTAATAAGCGTTAAAGCTTAAGAAAAGAGGTTTAACATGCTTATGTGAAACATAAGCAAAAGTATTCCAGCAAGTATGTGAAATATACCAGCAAAATATTTTACCAGTATTTACTTACACCAGCAAAATATTTTATATATTTATGTGAAACCTCTTCTTAAGGTATAAGGTTTCTCTTCTTAAGGTCTTGCCCCCCCCCGGGTGTCTTTTACTACATAATAGAAATCAAAAATTTTATTTTTCTTTTAAAAATAAGAACATATTTAAGAAAAAAAGTGCTCTCCTGATTATGAACCAGGTTGTCAGAATTAAGAACCAAAGAAAAATTTGCCACACCATTGCCAATGTGCCAAGTATTGTGTTTGCAGAAAGTTGAGAGAATTAAGAAATTACTGGTGTCAAAAAAAGCACTGTCAATTTTATAATGGATGAGAACTTGACACTTACCTCCAATATGTGTTATAAGTCTATTTATTAATTTATTTGCCATTTCATTGATGTATTGCTGCATATTCAAAGCAATTTTAAATTAGGCTTATACTGAGGTTTTCAATTTTGGCTGAGTATACGCAGTGAAATGTTATATCTCAGCTGATGTACAGAATAACTTAAGGTGCCAAATAGCAGAAGAACATTTAATATCATTTCAGAAATTATAGGAAATTCAGTTACATCTAATCCAGAATTCAGTCGAGGATTTTTGAGGAAGCTCATGTTTTAAGATTGATTTACTCGATGTAGCTCTTGGGCTTTATATGTCAGGTGAATCTCATTAAAGTCAATAAAATTGTTTTCTGAAATCAAAAGTCAACATTAAAATGTTTGCAAAACTGTGGTTCTAGCGATTTTAAGTAATTTATAATCATTTTTGCAACTGATGTTTCACAGTTGATTTCTCAGTTGCAAAATTTTCAATAATCAAAAACATTTCGAATAAATCATTTTCTACCTTGTTCTTCTAATGCGTATCTTTTTAATAAAAACCTTCAGTTTGATCCTTCAAAGTAAATATACTGCTTTATTTTCGCTGATGAGACAAATTGAGATCACTTAGCTTCTCAAAAATATCTGATGAACAGAGTACCTTTCATAGCCATAAATCATTTTAAAAAAGAGTAGAAATATCAAATTTTATTCGTTTAAAAATATATCAATTTTGTCTTTTGATAACGATAATCTTATTAAACGTATGCATCTTGACAATAATCTTAGTTTTACGTGTAATGATAGATTTTCGTATTTGGAATCCACGTTTTTACAGAGATTTGAAAATAAAACGGTTGTAAATGACGCGGATTTTAATAAAGAATAATAATAGTGATATATTTTTTAACCTGAAGCACGTCTTTCAATGTATGTTTCCTTTATAAATGTATCTGATATACACTAACAACTAAGTTATTTTGAAAATTTAAGTTTTTTTCAAATGAACTGTAAATTTTGGGGTTTCATTAAGTTAAGTAATAATATGCTCAAACTGGTCGTAGCTAACTTCCCAATTTCTATTGGAGCGCGCATGTCGTTTGACAAAAGGAATTTTCCGAATTTCATCACCTTACCTACTTATGTGCATTACAATTTCTAGAATTTGAAAGCAGTAGGAAATACAAGATCTTCTCTAAAGGTGTATAGCATTTTACGTTTTGTAATCAGATAAACAGTTTTAGCTAACAGTCATAAATTTCTCATTTTCTTTCATCAATTTTCTTTAATTGTGTTGAATTTTAATTCAGGATGACATTCTTGCTTTTTATTTCAATCTCTGGTACAATCGCATATTAAGAAAATGCACAGCTCACTTTTAGCTGCGATTTTATAAGACCAATTTAACATTAGTTTACAACTTCATTTAACCCATATCGAAATAGTACTAGATATTATATAAGGTATTTCTCCCGCCTTCTTAGCATGCCTTCGTGGTGTAGTGGTCAGCACGCTCGACGAGTATTTGAGAGGTCCATGGTTCGATTCCTGGCGAGGGCATTGCTCATTTTTTTCATCTCCTGCTTCAAAACAACCTAATTTCTCTACAACTATATTTAAATACACTAAATCAAGGGATCTTGCCAAATTCAAATTCAGCTAATCAGTAGTAGTTTGAATTAGATTTGTCAAAACTAAGGTTCTGATAAAACCATTTCTTTTAGCAATACAGGGTTCTGATCCTCAAAGCTAAGCTTTATACAGAGGGTGCTTACACATATTTGAATGATTTAAGCGCCGTTAAATTAACATTTAAAATGTAAAGGGTAATGTTTGATCTGACAGCCTTTTCTCTGGACTATACGTCAGCATTGTGATTTCCATGATCGCAGAACGTTTCGTAAAATAAATTTCCAAGAGTATTGATTTCCATTCTTCTTCCACTACTTTGTATAGTTTATCAATTATGGTGGGTTTGCGCTTAGGAAGAGCTCTTTTTAAGAATAAAGCTCTTTTTAAGAATATGTCTATAGATGAAAGGTCAGATGCTATAAGATGGTATATATGCAATGCTTATAGAAGTCCATTTTTTTCCAGGGAAGTCATGTGGTACCGTTCGAAGTATGACTTGTTGCTTTGTCTTGATGAAGTTTCACTCTATGAAAGTCACTGGGATAAAGAAATGGAATTTCATCTCTTAATATTGGGAGTAAGACTTTCTCTATTCATAGTATGTTAAGTTGATTTTAACATTTCTTTTCCGCAGTTCCTATTTTTATTTCCCACTATAACAGAATCCTGCGACAATCATAAACCCCTTACTAAAACTTTCTTTGCTTTCACGAAACCAAGTTTGTACATTATTTTTCTCTTCATTTTCGATAATAAATAGATTATGTTTTTTGTTGGAGTCATTTAGGTAAATCATGCTTCATCAACAACGTATTTCCATTCGTTGCCAGCTAAGTAGTTTTCATACAGGGTTCTACAAATTATTCTGCGTAGAGCCGCATGGTAAAAGCTGCTGAACATTTTTTTTAGCTTTTTAAAATTGTACATCTTGGTTAATTAATTAATTTATTTTTGATACAGATGTATTTAAAGACCATTTAAGTAATTTCTACATCGGCATTTTTTCTCATGTTAACTACGATTTTAACTTAGGAAACACGAGAAATAGTACTTATTTTTTCTGGGTATTAGTTGATATCTCCTCCATGTAGAAGTTACGACGGTTTTTACTGTTACGCTTAAATATGTTTATTTTGTACTTAGAAATTGTAATATCATGCATTTCACAACGGTTGTGAATTATGGAACAGGAATACTTCGTTTCGAAAAGCGCGAAAAACATATCCTTAAATCTACAGGTCGTTTATAAGCGGTATTTTGAAAGACGAATAAATTAAAAGGTAAGATATTTCTCATTTCAAATAATAAGCTGTTCTCAGAAATTTTTATTCCAAAACATTTGCTTTTTTTAAAAATTCTTTGTCGAAATCTTTCTAAAAATGTGTAAACACCGTCTGTAAACATATATATGCTAATGAATCTAAAATAGGTTCCTTTTCTATTTTCTTGTGAGTTTTTTTTAAGTGCTTGAGTAATTTGCGTTATTTGCAAAGAGTTGAGTAGAATTTTGAGAAATGAAAGGAAATGCTGGTTTATTTGAATATTACAAAGCACTCGAGGGCTATCTACATAAGATGAGGGATACCTTTGTGGAGAACGTTCTAAAGGAAACTACCTAGTATTCAGGTACATGGAGAAAACCACGTAAACGCGCATGCAGCCAGCCCGTTCCCCGGGATTTAAGCCCTGGATTGAACTACCAGTATTCAGCGACTTTACTACTCGACAGCTGGTGGGACAATGAAAGGAAAGAAAAATGCTCAGTCTAATTAGGGAAACTAAAATATTTGAATTCTAGTAGCTTAAGAACTCTCCTGAAACCGTTTTCGTAGAAATTTAAAAGCATAGACATTTTAATATGCACCTTGTTTTAAGCAGATCAACCATTTTGCTTCTTTGGCCAATATTGCTTTAGCATCTGAGACTCAGCTGGTGAAAAATGCGCTTGGCGAGGGCATTTGAGGTGTAGGTGTAATATGTCGAAGAATGTAGAAATTCTGTGTAGTACTCTTCAAATATTGTTTTAAAAAAGAACAGTAGATGTATCGAGATTAATCTGTAAATAGCTATGTGGTATAGATGTTAATTACTATTGGATGTCCATCAGTTGCTGTTTAAATAGTTATGCGTGAAAACTGAAGGTATAATCCTAATAAATTAAAGAATTCTGTACCAAGTAACTTAATGTATGGCGCTAGAAACATCTTTTATTAGTTATAATAATAATATTTAAATTAGTTACAATAATATATTTAAATTTGATTTGAATTTATATCAGTTATGTATATTTGTATTTTCACAGCAGGAAATAAAATATCAAATGTGTCCTTAAGGAAACCAAATGAGCGCATACCAGTATTATAATAAGAATCTTCCGATTTGCCAGTTGGAGCATTTACAGCACGAAAATGCACACGAGAGGAATGCAGTAACTGGTAACTTGCTACTAAAAATAAAATAAGGATTTAATCTATTACGAAATATGTTTATTGCTTTTAAATCTCTCAGCATGTTAAGCAGTTACAGATTCATTAAATTCGGAAAATAAATTATATATCTTACGTTCTGCATAATGGCAACATATTAAGAGCTGGTTATACATGAGGCGCTTGGAAGACGGGGCTCAAAATGTTTGGACGTTTAAAAATGTCAAAATCATTCTAAAGCTCTGAAATAAAATTAGTTGTTTTACCCAGTATAGTTGCTAAAGTATACCCAGTATAGTTGCTAAGTAATTGATCTTACATAAATGCTAGAGGATCTTTTAATTTTAGCTTATTAAACTGCCAATTTAAATCCATTTTTCTATCATAAAAGTTATAGTAAAGCCTCGTTGCATTACCCGAGTACCATCAGTAGGCATTTATATGTTCAAGGCTTCCTTTATGGCTTTATAACAAACAACACTGCCCATTAGCACTAGAATTACTAATCCGTCAATATGAAGAATTCCACCCCTCTCTTGGTTAAAACAGGTACATTTTAATGGCCGGTAGTTTTAATGATAAATACAAAAGGATGCATTTCTCTAAAATAAGGCTCCTAAGGTTCCTACCAAAGGCCGAAGGCTTAAGACCCCTGAAAATGGGCGTTAGACGTGGGTTGGATATCAGGCGATCGGGCTGGTTGCGTGGTTGGTTTTTTCATGCGTAAATGAATATAAGCGATTTTCCCTTAAAAAGTTTTCTACGAAGACAACCCTTCCTCGTCTGCTTTGCCATATTCAAATAAGCTAAGCTTTAAATAAAGTGCTAGACCAGTGGTGTTTCTTGCAGACTTACTTATGTTATAATAACTTGTCTCTTTAAAATCTACATTTTTTCTTTTATTATTACATACATTTTGGAATCCGTCTGCGTAAATATAGTACTGATAATGAATTCAAAATAGGAGTCAGGTACTATCTGATCAAAGATAGCGCAGTACTGACAGGCAATTTGCTAAGCACTTACTGTTCATTACTCATCTGAAGAGTAAGCTAGAAATCTACAGGATGTTAGGAAGAATGTTTATTGGTTTCTTCGAAAATGGTTCAAAATTCCCTTACTGTATTAAAAGCACTGAAAAAAATATCCACTACTTTGAATAAAAAATGAGCCAATACAACTCTGGCAGCATCAAGAACGATTTAAAAACATTCAGACAAAAAGTATCTTATTATAACTAATACCAAACTTTCACCGTATTTCATTTATATTCTTGTAGTCTGCTGTCGTCTTAAGTTTTGGTACAAATTAAATATTTCTTCTTAATCGAAATAATCTAATTAAAAAAAATTTCAACTAATTAAGCTGATTAATATTTCAACTTATTAAGATGGGAAAGGTAAATATAAAAACACGTTTGGTTATAAACCTTACATATTTTTTAGCCTATAAATAATGCTATAGATTCCTTTTGACTGCGAAGATAAAATTTCAGTAATAAAATGAAAATATACTTAGAAATCTTTTTAACTTTGGGGTGCTTGTCATTGATCGATCACTTAAATCTTTAAGTATTCTTTTTGGCATCTAACATTTGCCAGATTTCTTTTAAACTCTTCGAAATAAAAACTGTGAATAAACCAGAGAATAATCTTAAAATTTGATTTTATATCGCATTTCAAAATGAGGTTACTTCTGAAATACTAGCTTTGCTTTGAAATAATTGTAAACATTGAGCGTGATTTATTATCGTTCATTTGGACGGTTCTAGTAACATTGCTTATACATATGTTTTTACATTCCTTCACTTCACGAGTGATTAAGGGTTACGGGGAGCTTCACATAATTTTTTTTTGGTTTGGAAAAATATTCGTGTCAAATTTGGTGCGGATATGTTGAAAAGTATAAACTCTTTTGCCTAATATGTATGCAAGTCTATTTTGATTTTTACATATATGAAGATTTCAGAATGTATTTAATGTGATAAAGGCGGAGTAATTTATATAATTTAATTCAGAGAATTTATACGCATAGAATAAAATCTTATCGCATACTTAAACTATTCTTTTATTTACAAATAAAAACTAGTATTCATATCATAAAAATTATGAAATATAAATGAGAAAAAAAGGTCTGTTCCTGACGAAAATTGGGAAAACAAAAAAATTTTCCGTAGAAAAGTTACAGTTATATCAAACATAAAAATATAATCTTTATGTTTCTTTTATATATATATATATACTATATAATGAAAACAATGTCCTTTTCTAAAGATTACAAGAAAGGAAACATTTCTGTTTTTGAATGCTGCGTTTGGCTTTTATATATATATATATATATATATATATATATATATACTATATATACTATATATATAAAAGTATATATATATATACTACATATACTATATATACTATATATATAAAAACCAAACGCAGCATTCAAAAACAGAAATGTTTCCTTTCTTGTAATCTTTAGAAAAAGATATTGTTTTCATTAAAG